TAAGAGTCTAATGATGACCATGAAACCATTGTCAGTCATTTGGTTCGCTAATGTCCTTTCGGGAAGGAAATTGCTGGTGGGTCACTCTTAACTACTCTCTACAGACGGACAATAAATGCTGGCCTGGCCATATTCTATGAACGAATTAAAAAACAAAGGGTCATTAACCTGAAGCATGAACTTATTGAATTTATCCAGCATTTTCGGGTTTTACTTAATTTCCCTGTTTCTGTCTTCACAGATACTCCCAGACCTGCTGTGTTTCTGCAGCATGCTGTGTGTTTGTTTGGGATTTCCAGCATCCACAGTGTTTTGCTTTTATTAGACCAGAATATGAACCTGGTAACAGGTGTCAAGAGACTCCAAGCTATCTTCTGACTGAAGGTTCCATCAGCCATCTGATCAGTGTTTTAGGTGAGAGATTTGTACCATCTCATCTTATTAGGAATGACTTATCAGACTATTTAACAATAATTGATGAAAAGTGTTTCGTCCAAGATTTTGCGTTAATCTCCCTCGACTGCACGGATATTTGATGCTATCAATCAATGCTGACTTTAGCAGATAAATCAGGTGACCTGGGTTATATTTGTGAAGAATCAGAGACTTTGTGATCCCCTTTAGGATCAAACTGTTCCTACTGCAGAAAATCATACAGTGAAGGAAAGACTAAAAAGTGAAGACAAGAAAAATCCAAAATGTCATGACTGGAGGATTTCCATAGCACTGTACCATCAATGTGCATTGACATTACCTTCATTATGAATGTTTCCTTAGAACTAGTGGTGTTGAAACAAAAAGGATCATGTAGGAATCACTGGCTATGCCAGCATTCATATTCCATCCCTAATTGCCCAGAGGGCAGTTAAGAACCAACCACATTGCTGTGGATCTGGTGTCACATGTAGGTCTCTCTATAGGTCATTAGGGAACCAGATGGATTTTTATGACAATTGAACAGTGGTTACATGGTTGCCACTGTTTTTTTTTGATTAAACTCAAATTTCACCATCTGCTGTGGTCGTCTTTGAGCCCATGCCCCAGAACATTAGCCTGGGGTTTGTGGATGACTGTCCCAGTGATGCTAACTGCTCCTGTAGCCACATTTGTCTGCTATTCTACCTTCAGAAAGTGAGAGCGCAATAGTGAAAAACTGGAAGACGTGACTAAATTTAGCTTTACCTCGTAAGTACTAATAATGTTTAGTCGGTAGAAGAGTGGAATGTAAACCAAGCAAACGGTTATCGTTGTAAGTATTCTAGCAACGTTCAGCATCAGAATATTCAACCCCGTGTTGTACACTTCAGCTGGATAGCCAATCACTGTCACCATGAGCAGAAAAAGCAGAAGATTAGTCTCAAACAAAACATTACAGGATTTAAACATCAATAATACATCAACTTTAGAAAGCTGGAAATCTGAAGGTAAAGATAACAGTTGACAAAGCAGTCAACGTCTCCACATAAAACTCAAACACCATGAGGGTGAAGACACAGGATACATGCTCCTGATTTCCCGGGACATGTTCAATACTTTGTGGCATTTCCCACGGGGATTGCTGGATTGTACAATTAGCCCTCTCTGCAGCTAGTCCACACTATAGATTCCGTAAGCAGGCTGGAGATTTTTATTGCAATCTTGATTTCATTTCCATGATTGTGGTATTATGTCCTGAACACTCTGAGGAATGGCTGCACATTCAACAAGAGGCCTAGGTTTATGTGAGGCTAGAACAATTTAATGTTAGCCTGCTTGTCTTCATGCCAGATTATAGCTTTGAAGGGAGCAGTCATTCTGCCTGAAGCAGATGATGTTGGAGGTTGGTGGGAAACAGTACAGGAGAAGAATGGAAATATTGTGCCAAAGGTCAGGGACAGGGCTCCAAGGTTTTAAGGCAAAGAGGTTGATAGAAGAGAGGTGTTATGTGGAGGGGCAACAGGATCTCAGAACAGACTACAGAAAGGCAGCTGGAGCAGTTTGTCACAGACAGCAATGCCGGGAGTCTTGCCCCATAGTATTGGAAGATAGTATTGGAAAAAGTTCAATGTCATCATGTGGGGTCAACAGAGTGAATGCATCTTTAAAAGGTTTTGGCTCAGTAAATGCACTGCCAATCTCTCCTTCCGCTCAGTATAGCACATCCCATCACATGGCCAGCCACAAGCTTGACCATGAAGACTCAATCAGTAAGATTTAAGGCAATTAAGGACCAATATGGAGCATTAAACTTTCTCAGTCATGAAGGAGAAATCAGTTCCAGTGTAATACACAACCCAAGTGGGTATATATTTCGGGAACTTTGGCGGCAGTGTGAGAACATAAGAACATAAGAACTACGAGCAGGAGTAGGCCGTCCGGCCCTTCGAGCCTGCTCCGCCATTCAATAAGATCATGGCTGATCTTTTCGTGGACTCAGATCCACTTACCCGCGTTCTCACCGTATCCCTTAATTCCTTTATTGTTCAAAAAAATATCTACCTTATCTTTAAAAACGTTTACTGAAGTAGCGTCAACTACTTCACTGGGCAAGGAATTCCATAGATTAACAACCCTCTGGGTGAAGAAGTTCCTTTTCAATTCAGTCCTAAATCTGCTCCATCTAATCTTGAGGCTATGCCCTCTTGTCCTAGCTTCACCTGCCAGTGGAAACATCCTCTCGACTTCTATCTTATCTATTCCCTTCAGAATTTTATATGTTCTGAATTCCAATGAATATAATCCCAATCTACTCAGTCTCTCCTCATAAGCCAACCCCCTCAACTCCAGAATCAACCTAGTGAACCTCCTTTGCTCCCCCTCCAGTGCCTGTACATCCTTTCTCAAGTAAGGAGACCAAAACTGCACACAGTACTCCAGGTGTGGCCTCACCAGCACCTTGTACAGCTGCAACATAACCTCTCTGCTTTTTATTTCAATCCCTTTAGCAATGAAGGACAAAATTCCATTTGCCTTCCTAATTACTTGTTGTACTTGCAGACCTACCTTCTGTGATTCATGCACAAGGACACCCAGGTCCCTCTGCATAGCAGCATGCTGCAACTTTTTACCATTCAAGTAATAATCCTTTTTACTATTACTCCTGCCAAAATGTATGACTTCACATTTATTTACATTGTATTCCATCTGCCAGACCTTTGCCCACTCACTCAATGTATCTATGTTCCTCTGCAAAGTTTCACAGTCCTCTGCACACTTTGCTTTGCCACTCATCTTAGTGTCATCTGCAAACTTTGACACCCTACACATGGTCCCCAACTCCAAATCATCTATATAAATTGTAAATAATTGTGGTCCCAACACCGATCCCTGAGGCACACCACTAGTCACTGACTGCCAGCTAGAATAGCACTCATTTATCCCCACTCTTTGCTTCCTGTTAGTCAACCAATCCTCTATCCATGCTAATACTTTACCCTTAACGCCATGCATCCTTATCTTATGCAGTAGCTTCTTGTGTGGCACCTTGTCGAAGGCCTTCTGGAAATCTAGGTACACCACATCCACTGGGTCCCCATTGTCCATCTCACTCGTAATGTCTTCATAGAATTCCAAAAGATTTGTCAAGCATGACCTGCCCTTCATGAACCCATGCTGCGTCTGCCCAATGGGACAATTTCTATCAAGATGCCTTGCTATTTATTCCTTGATAAGCATCTTCCCCACTACAGAGGTTAAGCTAATCGGTCTATAATTCCCCATCTTTTGTCTACTTCCTTTTTTAAACAGTGGTGTCACATTTGCTGTTTTCTAATCTGCCCCAGAGTCCAGCGAATTTTGGAAAATTACCGCCAGTGCACCTGCTATTTCTCCTGCCATCTCTTTTAGTACCCTGGGATGCATTCCATCAGGGCCAGGGGACTTATCAATCCTTAGCTCCATTAGCTTGCCCAACACTACCTCTTCCGTAATAATGATTGTTTCCAGGTCCTCATCTACCTTCGTCTCTTTGTCAATTACTGGCATGTTATTAGTGTCCTCCACTTTGAAGACCGATACAAAATACCTGTTCAATGCCTCGGCCATTTCATCATATCCCATAACTAAATTCCCCTTCTCATCCTCTAAAGGGCCAACGTTTACTTTAGCCACTCTTTTTCGTTTTATATACTTATAGAAACTTTTGCTATCTGTCTTTATATTCTGTGCTAGTTTTTTCTCATGTTCTGTCTTACTTTTCCTTATAGCTCTTTTTGTGGCTTTCTGTTGACCTTTAAAGTTTTCCGAATCTTCTAGTTTCATGTTGTTTTTGGCCACTTTGTATGCCTTCTCTTTCAATTTGATAGCCTCCCTTATTTCTTTAGACATCCATGGCAGATTATCCTTTTTCTTACAGTCCTTCCTTTTCACTGGAATACACTTTTGCTGAGCAGTTTGAAAAATTGCTTTGAAAGTCCTCCACTGCTCGTCAACTGTCCCACCATAAAATCTTTGTTTCCAGTCTACTTTAGCCAAGTCCTCCCTCCTTCTATTGTAGTTCCCCTTGTTCAAGCACAGGACCCTGGTATTGGATTTTATCTTCACACTCTCCATCTGTATTCTAAATTCAACCATACTGTGATCACTCCTTCCAAGAGGATCCCTAACTATGAGGTCATTAATTATTCCTGTCTCATTACACAGGACCAGATCTAGGATAGTTTGTTCCCTTGTTGGTTCCATTACATACTGTTCAAGAAAACTATCACGGATACACTCAACGAACTCCTCCTCAAGGCTACCCTGACCGAGCTGGTTCGACCAATCTACATGTAGATTTGGTGCAAAGGGGAAGAGGCGCTTTCTGTTTCCTTTCTCAGCTCATAATTTGTAAGGTTTTCTTTTGTAAGGATAAACTGAAACCCAGGAGCAGGGGCCCAGCAGAAAACTTAGAGTGACCTCACAGAAAACCACAAGTCCATTGGTTGGCAACAGCTGCTAATTTGGCTATCTGTTATAGTTACTTTCAGACTGAAGGTAAATAGGAGAAACATGAACAGATTACAAATTAAAAGCGCAGTAGTAAATTTTTAACACAAATTAAGAACAAAACGAAAGAAATAGAGATGCCGGGCCAGGCAATGTGTTGTACTCACATGATGTGGGAGCTGGTGGACCCCAATGTGGTTCACAGTGATCACATCTATAGTATGTGTTGGTTGCTTGAGGAACTGTGCCTCAGATTTGATGAGCTGGAGTCTGAGCTTCAAACACAGTGAGGGGCAGAGTTACCTGGACGCTGTGTTTCAGGCAGCAGTCACACTCCTTCAATTAACTAACTCTAGTGGTCAGCTACAGGAGGGTGCGGCTACAAATGAGGCAGGTAGAGTAATCTAGGAGGTAGTGCTGAAGGATCCTCAGCCCTTGAGCTTGACTAACAGTTTTGAGGTCTTGCTCCCTATGTGGATGAGAGTGGGGGCTGTAGGGAGGATGATCAAACTGACCATTGTACAACAAGTGATTGGGTGGTGTGGGGAAGTAAGGAGAAATTACCTGGACCGGATGGACTACACCCCAAGGTTCTGAAGGAGATGGCTGAGGAGATTGTAGGGGCATTGGTGGTGATCTTTCAGGAACCACTGGAGTTAGGGAGGATCCCAGAGGACTGGAAGATGCCTAATGTAACCCTCCTGTTTAAGAAGGGAGGGGGGCAGAAGATGTGAAATTATAGGCTGGTTAGCCAGTCTTTGGTAATATTTTAGAGTCCATTATTAAGGATGAGATTGCAGAGTACATGGAAATGCACAGTAAAATAGGGCTGAGTCAGCACAGATTCATCAAGGGGAGGTCATGCCTGACAAATCTGTTCAAATTCTTTGAGAAGGTAATGAGCAAGTTAGATGAAGGAGAGCCAGTGGACATGATCTGTCTGGACTTCCAGAAGGCCTTTGGCAGGGTGCGGCACAGGAATCTGCTAAATGACATCGGAGCCCATGGTGTTAGGGGCAAGGTACGGGCATGAATAGAGGATTGGCTGACTGGAAGAAGGCAGAGAGTGGGGATAAAGGGATCTTTTTCAGGATGGCAACTCGTAACTAGTGGAGTTCCACAGGGGTCAGTGTTGGGGCCATAACTATTCATGTTATACGTTAACAATCTGAACAAATACACTAAAGGCAATTTTGCTAAGTTTGCAGATGACAGAAAGACGGTGGAAGGACAGGTTGTGTTGAAGAGGCAGGGAGGCTGCAGAAGGATGTGGACAGGCTAGAAGTAGAAAATACAATACATTGTGGGAAAGTGTATGAGGTTATGTCATCAGTATTAATGTGGACCACAACCTCTAGCAATTTACTTTACTTTTCAGAATATCCTGTGCCCTCTCAGAGACCTCTTTGATCCTGGC